AAAACAGGATTGAAACAAAAAAACAACCCACTAATTGGGAAAAAATATTTACAAGTTATTTATCTGACAAAAGGTTAATCTCCATAATATATAAAGAACTCACACAGCTTAACAACAAAAAAGTCAAACAACCCCATCAAAAAATGGGCAGGGGACATGAACAGACATTTCTCCAAAGAAGATATATGGATCGCCAATAGACACATGAAAAGATGCTCACCATCACTAATCAGCAGGGCAATGCAAATCAAAACTACACTAAGATATCACCATACACCTGTTAGAATGGCAAAAATAACCAAACAAAAAGTGACAAATGTTGGAGAGGTTGTGGAGAAAAAGGAACCCTCATACACTGTTAGTGGGAATGCAAACTGGTGCAGCCACTATGGAAAACAGTATGGAGGTTTCTCAAAAAATTAAAAATAGAAATACCTTATGACCCAGCCATCTCACTACTGGGTATCTATCAAAAGAACTTGAAATCAGCAATTCCAAAAGTCCCATGCACCCCTATGTTCATTGCAGCATTATTTACAATAGCCAAGATGTGGAAGCAACCTAAATGCCCATCAACTGATGATTGGATAAAGAAGATATGGTATATATATACAATGGAATATTACTCAGCCATAAAAAAGGATAAAATGGTTCCATTCACAACAACATGGATGGACCTTGAAGGTATTATGTTAAGTGAAATAAGCCAGACAGAGAAAGACGAACTCTGTATGACTCCACTCATGGGTGGAAGTTAAACATAGAGACAAAGAGAATTGATTGGTGGTTACCAGGGGAAAGGGGGTTGGGGGGAGGGCACAAAAGGGTGAAGTGGTGTACCTACAACATGACTAACAATAATGTACAACTGAAATTTCACAAGTTAAAAAAAGAAAGAAAGACAGAAAATTGAGCGAGAATACTCTTGTACTCTAAGAATCTTCTGGTCGCTTTGTAGAAGTTCCAAAATCATTGGTCATGTTCACGTGGTCTGTAAGAGAGAGAAACTATTTTACTTTTTGGTGAGACAATTTATTTTAGGTTCATCTTTTCCTTATATTATTCAGTCATAAAACCTCTCTATTATGTTAGTTGTGTTTGTCTCTGTCTCAGCACTTTTGGGAGAACCCTGAGGTAGGGGGGAGTTATTTCAGTTTCCTTCATCGGGCACCTGGGATGGTCATTGGCTTGCCTGTGGTCGGGTAGAGAGAGCATTGCTGATGTGCATTGGGTGGGGCTGGGCCCCTCAGTGTTCAGGCCAACTCTCCTCTGAAGCTGCACCACACCGTGAGGGGACACACGGGAACAGAAGGGCTGGAGTGTGGGCCAGCCATCCTTGTGCTTTTAGTGGGGGTGGAGATCCTGCTCACATGGACTGTTCCCACCATGGAATATAAAACCTTTTCTAAATGTCTCAGGAGTGATGGAGTATGAAAGGCAGAGCCGGCCGGGCTCCTCACAGAAGAGCTGGATCCATTTTCATTTCAAATAGGATAAGAAGAGAGAGGCACCAAGATAGTGACAAGACACACTCAGTCTTCTGAGAAAATAAAGGGGAAGCAGAATTAGAACTTAAAAATTCAGTGTGTGTGTGTATGTATTTGTGTGTATGTCTGTGTGTCTTTGGTCATGTGTGTGTTTGTGAGTGTGTGTCTGTGTTTGTAACACATGTGAGTGTGCACACATGTTCTGAAACTAGAGGGAAACCTGTGGATTTAACGGGTAAGGGGGAGTCCTCAGCTCCATAGCCCTACTCTGGGTGGTCAGCCAAAGGAGCAGTTTGAAGATTTTGGAAGTGTCAGCTTTGTTTTATGGAAAGAGAGGATAACATCATTAAAGTTGAGGAATTCCACTTTTAAGCACTGGGCACCAAGTGGTTGAGGGTCAGACAGACTGCTGTGGGCTTTCTTCATGGATTTAACTGCTTGGCTTCAGACTGACACCTGGACTTGAGGCCATCCATGAGCCTGACCTTGATGTAGCAGCGTAAGCCAATGGATTGAAGCTGCCTCCTGGTCAGCTAGTGGAGGGAGGCAGGAGCCAACGTGGAGAAGGAAGTGTGTCTGAGGCAGAGAACACAGGGTGGAGCCAAGAGTCTGTCAGACAGATGTCTTTTACTTTCTATGATTTATGGTCATAATTACTATTAGTAGGTGTCTGATATTTAAAATGAAATAGGATCTTTCTTAATTTTAGAGCAAATAATAACAAATAAATTAGCAGTCAAATTGCATATTGCCTGGCTGGGTGGAATACGCATTACACTTGCAGCTCTGGTGATAAATAACTTGAAAACTCCTGGTGGAGGTCTTTCTTTCTTTCTTTTTGTGAGGAAGCTTAGCCCTGAGCTAACATCTGTGCCAGTCTTCCTCTACTTTGTATGTGGGACGCCTCCACAGCATGGCTGATGAGTGGAGCAGGTCTGCACCTGGGATCCAGACCCATGAGCCTGGGCTGCTGAAGCAGAGTACGCAGAACTTTAACCACTTGACCATGGGGCTGGCCCCTGGTGGAGGTCTTTCTGATGCAGTTTTTCACCAGTTCCCTGGAATGGAGCAAATTAGGTATATGCTGATACAGGTTGTTGTTCCAAGGTTGGGATTCAAGAGTTAATTGTGATGGATGCCTCATCCCAATTGCATGTGATTGTTAGCCATGATTAGAGCAGGACGGGAAGCAAATAAAGACTTGTTCCTGCTGCCTTATCTAGCGGAGTCTGTCATCTGCCATTTCCACAGGACAAACACAGAATTCTTAATGTGAGCAAATCTCCAGCCAGAGCAGTGTGGCTGTTCTTGTCCCCTGCCTTCCTCCCAGGTCTTCTGCAGGCACTGGACATGCACTGTGAGAATCCTGGGCATAGAGAGTGCCTGAGGTGGTGGGAGAGGCAGCCCGAGCCCCCCAGGTTCCTTGTGTGAGACCCTTGGTGATTTGCTTCTGGTCATCCGTGGCTTGAGTAGAGCCCTAGAGATCAACTAACCTGGCCCTGATTTACTGCTCACGATGCTGACACCAGGCGAGTCCAGTGACTTTCTCAAGGTTACCACTTTTGGGGGAACCAGATTGGATTCAGGTGTCCCTGACTCTCCAAGGTACCAGGCTGTCTCTCGGGAGGGTTTATGGCAGCTTCCCTTTCAGGCTGTTTTACCTTTTCTACCTCCCACAGCCTGGCTCAGGTCCTCGAGTGAGAAGCGACTGTGAGGGAGGGAGGAGTGGGGAAGAGAGGCACGAGTAGGGCCAGGAGCAGACCTGTGAGACATGGGGAACAGGAACACACAAGCACACTGAAAGCTTGGGTCAACTCATGGATGAAGCAGGTAGTGAAGACGTGTTGAAATGAGACTAAAAAATGAAACGCTATTTTTCATGAGACTGTGTTGTTTCAGAAAAATGGAGCTTTGGCTTAGAGTTGAGGCCCAAGGCTGGGTGTCCAGCTCGCTGCAGATGTGCACCCTGGGCCTGACTCTTGGGGCTTTTCCTCTGTGATGCAGAGCTATAAAATCGAGCTCATAAAGTTGGTGTAAGGGCAAAGTGAGACTGCTTATTCCTGTGAATTCACAGTAATTTTGTCCTCTATTGGATTCCATTGCTTTTGTAGCCTCTGCACATCCTGGCTGTGTGCCTTCCTCAGCCTCTTTGTGTAAGGGGGTTGAATGCTTCAGCTGTAAAGATTTTAGAGCAATCCTCTTATGAGGAAATTAATGATTGGAAACTTTGCAGTCAACTCCCTTGTAATTAATAGCTTTCTCCTGATTTGTCATTCTCTTTCATTCATCCGTTTACTCTTGAGCACCTACCATGTACCAGACACAGGGGTAGCCACAGAGGAAATGGCAGAGGACAAAAAGGACAAATTTATGGGGTTCCTAACCTTGAGAATCTTATATTCAAGATAAGAAGATATGCCTTTAAACTGACAATCACAGCACAATGTGGTAAGTCCTATAACAGACGCCTGCACAGAACTAACCTACCAGTCCAATCAAGGGAGATTCCATATGGGACTTTTGAGTTGGGTCTTAGTGGATGAATAGGAGTTTGTCAGTTTGAGAAACAGGAATACAGGCATCATGCTTTGACAGGAATGTGTTCTCAGTGTTGATAAAGGCACGGTGTGTTCAGAAAACTTCAGGCTTTTGTTGGCTCATGGCCCTCCACTGGGGTTGGTGTGAATATAGCATCAGGGACCTCTGAGGAGGGGGCCTCATCTTAGTTTTGATCTCACTCCTCCCATTGTTCACACTCTGACTGGCCGGCTTACCCTCCCAAGGGTGGATTTTCTCTAGTCCTTTCTCTGCATTTAAGATGTACTTGAACCCAGGGCAGAATGTCCACGTGCTCTGACCTGCCCCGGCCCCTCCGAGGTGGGTGAATGCGTTTGGTGCCGCACTCACTTGAAATTCTTGTCTGTCTCTCCTTATGGAGCATGAGTGTCCTCCTCCATCTGCCTTTTCTTTCTCCATTCCCTGGCAACAAACACAGGCTGTCTGTCCACTTGGGGCATGCACGCGGTGGGTGCTAGGCACAGATTGTTCCAGAGAAGGACCCAGAGGTCCTATTCTAGTTTCACTGCTGCTCGTGTAATTCTCTTTAGTGATGATGCTGACGGAGCCCCATGGGTCTGGCCCAGTGGGAGAGCTCAGCCAACCAGGTGTCTTTGTAGGTGGCCCGCCGCACACACTCCCTCTGCTGCTCACCTGGAAGATCCCCTCAGGCAGATGGCCCCTCCTTGTTACCAGAAGGGACTGGATGTGTGAGCATCCTCCCAGTGGAGAAGCTGTCCCCTGTATATTCCCTCTCACTAACTCAAGCTAGGGTCATGTTGTTTTGTCTTCCAAATAATCCAGCATTGTTTCAAAAAAGCCAAGTCCCAAGAGTCTGTGTGTGGATCTGCACTGTTTCTTTGGGACTCAGGAGCTGGCAAATGCAACAGCCTCCGAAGACATGCTACTCTTCTTTGTAGCTCTGATTCCTTTCTCTCTTCTGTTTTTCCTCCCCAGGCTGCTTATTCGAGGATGGCCTTTGCAGACCGTCTGAGACCTGTGTAGATGGTAAGTGTGCAGGTCCTGGCTGTCATGCAGCTGTGGGTCTAGGTTTTCCTCTATCTCGCCAACCAAGACAACTCCAATGATGGGGTTTATGCGGAGTGAAGGTTCTGGGTGAGGTTTGGTTCGTTTGATGCTTCTGAAGAGAGCTGTGGCGCTGAAACTTATCTAGACGTTATTATAAGGAGAGAAAATGGAAAATTAATGGAAGTGGAACATACTCTTTATATGCATGTATGTGTATGGGTGTCTGCATCTGTATCTGTACCTGTATCCCAGTATTTTAAGGCATTTCATGAGAAATTTTACAACCATAGGTGGTGGGATCTGGAGCCCTGAGGATGGCTAAATGAGAGGCCTGTCCCTATGGATGTGCCCCTGTCGATGTCCCTCAGCACTGAGCCTTCGTTCCTCTGAACTGCCCAGTGCTTTTCTCACTCGCCACACTCCACCCAGTTTTGCTTTGTCAGTAGGTGAGCTTTTCAGCCTTTAGGTCCCCTAATTTCCTCTCTTATAGGTGGAGGAGAAGAAAGTTGGTGCTTTGTGTTGTCAGGTAGGGTTCAAAGCCCACAAGGCAGGAACTAAAATACCAGAGCAGGGAGTCCTCCCCGTGGCTGGCTCTGGAGGGGGTGGGACATATGCCTCCCGCCTCAGGAGTCTGGTCTCAGAAAGGACATGTGCACAGAGGGCTGCCTCTTAGAAGAAGAAAACCTAGTGTCTTGTTTGATGGACGGTAACTTTGGGGCAGTGTGCTCTTCGATAGCGATGCTTCATATGCTAAGGGGAAGGGCTTAGACTGGAACACGCACAAAGACATTTTGGTCAGTGCCACTTTTCTTAAGGTCAAACTGAGTCTGCACGTGGGAACCCAGGCAGCGTTGGGAAGACCAGGTGAGAGGCATGTGTCTTCCTCTCCTCAGTGCCTGTCTCTGCCGTTAGCTTATGGTGTGTGTTGGGGAGGTGGATTCTGTCTCTGCCCAGATCCTGCCTTCAGTGTTGCTGACACGGCACAGGTGACCCTCGCTTCTGCCAGGTTCTCTGCACAGATGTGGTGCCTTTCGGGGGAGTCTGATTTCCAGAGGACATGCGGGACTTGGGGACTGCCCTTCAGCTTGTCCTCACCAGGCCGATGTGGGACACTATCGAGAGTCTGAAAGTCAGACACGAGGCACCATGAGCATCCCTCGTTGAGAACAGTCCTGAGTCCTAGACCAGCGGATTTCAGGGCCGGGAACCACCGTGTTTGTCTGTGTCCTGTCAGTTTACGTGCCCTGGGGACAAATTGCTGACAGTTCTGGATATTCTGTCTTGTGTTTTTTTCTTTGTGGGAAGAATTCTGTGCTGAATGTTCTAAGTGGTGACCTGGGCTGGAAGAAGGTAGGACAGAAGCTCCGTGACCACAGGACTCAGTTCGTGGCCAGGTTGTGGCCCAGTCAGCCTGAGCTCCCTGGACCTGGGCCTGGCAGCTGCTCACCTTCTCACACATGGGCAGGCTTCTTGCTTGGCCCTCACTCCAGGCTCCTTGCAGTTGTACCTCTGCAGCTTTTATTTGGAGGCAGCTTTTAAAAAATAATTTTATTTTAAAAAATACATCATCTGCCCTGACTCAGTGAAGTTTGATTATAGAGCAAACAGATGTGTGTGTTTAATTTAATCAGAGATATGAGTGGCACCAACAGAATAAAAGCTGTGGCCTTCTCCTCTGTCCTTGAGAAAAAGCAGGCCTGGAAGTCATAACCATTCCTGGAGGTTTTCCTTTCCCAACCTCAACTTGCTGCCCTGGTGTGGAATTACATTAACATTATTTGAGATAATAGCTTTGAGTTCTTTGGAAAGGAAAGCAATTTAAATGTAAATATAAATACACAGGTCTTGATTATAGAGACAGACAATATTTGATATTTTCTGTGGTACAGTTAAGGTCTAGGAAGCTTCAAAGTGAGTGTGGTCCAAACTCACAAAACTGTGTGCCCTGCCAGGCTGGTGGGTGGGGAAGGCAGGGGCAGCGCCCTGCCCTCCAGGATGTGCTCCAGCTCCAGTATGCAGCATCCATCCGTGGAGCAAGAGCCTTGTTGGGCCTGGCCAGGCTTCGATGGGGGGTGGGTGCTGAGGCTGAATGTGGGAGGCCAGTGGCCTGGGGTCAGGTCTCAGGCCAGTCTGGCTATCTCTTTCTTTTTCTCCCTCCCTCCTGCCTTCCTTCTCTTCTTCCTCCCTTCCTTCCTTTCTTCCTCCTCCCCCCTTTTTTTCTATTCCTTCTCACTGCATTCCTTCCCTTTCTTTCTTCCCTCCCTCCCTCCCTTCTTGTTTTCCTTCTACAGCTTTCTTTCTTTCTGTTTTTTTTTAGTGAGGAAGATTGGCCCCGAGCTAACATCTGTTGCCAATATTCCTCTTTTTGTCCCTGACCTAACATCTTTGCCAATCTTCCTCTGTTTTGTATGTGGGACCCCAACACAGCATGGCTTGATGAGCAGTGTGTAGGTCTGCATCCAGGAACCAAACCTGTGAACCCCTGGCTGCCGAAGTGGAGCATGTGAATTTAACCAGTATGCCACTGGGCTGGCCCCTGAAGCTTTCTTGAAGTTGGAGGGAAGCAGACCAAATCAATATATTTTTGGAAGTGCTCAGAACATTTTTTTTCTTTTCATTTTTGTGTTTAGCAATCACAAGCTTGGTCTGTCAACTGCTGGTTGTGATCTACTGGGGTGCCCAGCATGCTGTGGCAAATTTGATAAACAGAGCTATTCTGCTTTATTGCACTGGGAAAAATAGAATGGTAAGAAGCTTTAATTTGACAACTGGGGAACTGTGAAAAAGCATGGTCGGTTTGAAAAAGAGATTAGATAGCAGCAATAAAACCTATACTGTATGAATCATGAGCCACCAGAGAGCCTGGAAAGGCCCTTGTGAACTGGACATTCTGAGGCAGCTGCCCAAGGAGACTTGGCTTCAGTGGCTCTGTAGGGAGGGCTCTAGCTTCCATGGTAGGACAAGCTCTGCTTTCAGGATCCTCCCGCTCTTAAGGCTGATTTCCAGGAGCTAACAGGAGCCTAACCTCCTAATTGGTCTGTCTGCCTCCCCCTCCTCTCTGCCCTCCTCCACATCACTAGGAGCCAGCTCTTCTTCCCGCTGCTGCAACTCTATCTTCCTCCTGGCCTGAGGCCTTTCACTGCCCCTCTTCCCACAGACTCAAGTCTAGACTCCTGAGGCCAACCTGAGCGCTTGAGGTCCTTTACCATGGGACTCCACCCTCAGGGATGCATCTAAGGTGACCATCCTTTGTCAGGTTAATTTCTGCCTTATTTTCGCACTACTTCCTCTACCAGACCCTCTTCCCTCATCCAAATCCCACCTCACTTCTTCATTCATTCCAGCGCTCTGGTCGTTCCTTCCTTTCACTGTTCTCCTAAAACACTCAGTTTGTCTTCCCATGGCACTCAGTGCCTTGAGTATTTTTTCAAGGGTTTTCATTTTAACTTCCCTCCTGGATTGATGTTTCTGAGAAGTCTTAAAATACCACCTTTTTTCCCCCAAGTGTCAATATAATGTGCATGCAGGAAGTATTTGCTGATTTCTGGAAGGTTTTTTTGACGTGGAGGCATACACCTGGTTGATGAGCTGTGACAGTCAGTCGAGCGAGTGAGCCTCTCCTGAGTCAAGCAACACCAGGCTGCCACTCCCTGTGCCGTCTCACTGGGTTGGTCCAGCTTATTCTCTACAAGAATTCGCCCTGGACCTGTGAGAGGTTTGCTGGTCCAATGGTACCCTTCAAGGAATTAACGCACAGCCGTGCTTTGCTCGTCCATCCTCCTTCCTGCCTCTCCTGTTATGTTCCCACCCTGGCGGTCTCCTGCTCCTGCATGCCACCTGCCTTGTCCCCAACTGGCCCGACCTCATTCCCTCTCTGCCTCCAGGTGCTTCCTCCATCCTGGACAAGGTTGGCACGTGGGTTATGTCATGGCACAGGGCACCTCACTCGTACTCCCTGCCCGTTGGGGTAGCTGGGTGACCTGGCAGGACCTGGTGACTGATGCTGCTTTTCTCAGGCATTTCTGTGACCTGACTGGAGACCCCACTCACATCCTCCGACCAGACCATGAGACTCGGGCCAGCAAGAATTCTGACAGTTGCGATTTGGAGAGTCAAAGAAAGAGAATGCCCAAGAAGGAAGAAGTATTGTGATGAGTTGGGCTGGGTTGTGGGACGAGAGCAGTGTGTAAGCAGACAAGAGTGACTCTTTCTTCCCATTGCAGAGTCAGTCGTAGGGCTCTCAGCAGCCCTTCTGTGTCCCCTGCTCGTGGATTGGATTCTTTTTTTATGTCTCTATTGAGTTAAGGAGTAGAAGCAGAAGGAGAGAAGTGGGGCATCGCATCCAAGCTCAAGTTCCACCCTACTGGAGGGTTTCCAGTTGATGTGTGACCCCAAGGCAAGTCTGTCAGAAACAGTTTCTGTAATGCCTCTGCATCCATATCCACCCTGCTTCCATGGATTGAAGGGCCGCGTGCTTGTGATCCTTGAGGGCTCAGTGCCAGGGGCTGGAGCTCATGTCCTTTCTTCCTGACACAGCCTCAAGTGTTGTATGTGGAGAGAGCTTTCTGCACTTCATAGAATCAGTGCTGTTGCATGACAGGCTGTGCTGCTGTTTGAATCTATCTCAATTTCTAGAAACTTATAGAAAGGACACATTATTGAGATTTGAAAGACTTTGTTTTATTTTTGCTTCAATAGAGAATTTGGCACACTGTTTTAAATCAACAACTTGTGTACTTATGTGTGTTGGTTTAAAGCTGAGTAGCTATTTGGAGGGTGGAAAATTGGAACCAAAAGTTTTAGGAGCCACCATACGTGTATTATCAATAAAATGTAAAGCAAAATTATCTCTCAAATTACATGATGATGGTTTCCATAACTTTCTAGTGTGTCAATTTTTTCCAGAGGCAGGCCTGTCAGCTAGTAAAATGCTCCTAGAGTTCTTAAGAAGGACGTTAGGTTGTGAAGCTCATCTAAAAATAAAACTTACTAGAAATATAGGATGTGTTGTCTATTTGTCATTTTCTAGCTGACACATACCATTTTACTGAATGTTACAACAGTGACACCAAAGATAGGCTTTTTCAGGAAGTCTTCCTGGTTGCTTTAGATCTTCCTCCTCTTCTGCTCTTAGCAGGGAGCATGTGCTCACCCACCTCACTGTGAGCTCTGAGAGCAAGGGTTGTCTTTGTATCTTGGGACCAGCATGTCACCTGACACAGGAATCATCAGTGAGAGTGGGCAGAAGGGAGGAAATTGTTAGAGATCAAGGAAGGAACGGGAAGGTATCATTTTGCAATAAGTCATAGTGTGTAAGTTCTTAATGCTTGTATTGTCATCTATTAAATGGATTTTTAAAAATAAAAACTTTGTTTTGTTTTTCTAACTATAACTTATAAAACTGAAAATAAAAGAATAAAGGACACAATAAAAATTACCCCAAGTTCATTCTAATTCTTCCCTTTAAGCACATTCTCTTTCCTATTCTAAAATTCTTATATGTAAGGTTCGATATGCTCAGATAACGTATGTAAGTGTGAGAAAGCGAGCACTGGCGAGTGCACCACCTAGCATGAGAAATAGAGCAGTATTGTTACTCTTGAGCCCGCTTCTGTATTGTTTTGATAATAGAAGATGGTAGCAAAGTCTTATTGTATGAAAAAGGAAAATGTTAGTCACTGGAGTATTTACCTGCTTTTCTCTTTTAGGTTTATTATGTATTGTTTGATAATTCAAAAATGAATTATACAAATTATATATGGACACATTCTTGTTAAAAATGAACAATTTGGAACTATATAAAATAAACAGTGAAGCATTTCCTCCATATCCCTTCACTCCAGCAAATCTCACCCCACCCAGAAGGCACGGTTCTTTCCAGCTGCTGTGTGCCCAGCCAGACCGTTTTCCATATACAGTAACATAGAATATGCCAGGCAGTTCCTCATGGAAGAGATCTGGCAATTAGCACCAAACTGTCTCACACCTTTGTTTCGCACTTTGTGGTGAATTACCGAAACAACCTGTGTTATAGTTCTGGGCTGCTCTGCGGGCAGGATCCTGCCCCCATGTCCTCACTGCCTATGCAGACCCGCAGCAGAGAGATGTGGATTACATCATTCAGCATCACCAGGAGGCTTGTTCCATTCCCAAATTCCAATTAATCAAACCTAAACAGGAATGGAAATTAATTACTGAGTTAAGTGGTGTGAAGCAAAGTTTAATTTGGCATATTAACAGGAAAAGAAATGCAGTTTTGAGCCTTCATATTAATGGGCTGAGATGAGTTAAAATTGTTTCAGCTCCATTTGAGCACACACACATATGTTCAAAAAGGAGCATGAGGCAGGCACTCTGGGCTCCAGAGCTTCCGTTTGCTCCTCCTATTTCATCAGGCTTTTTTCTGCCAGAAGCCTGTTGGGATGAAAGAAGCAGGAGGAATGTACCCAGATTGTCTCCTCACTTTTCCTCTTACTTGGTTGCACTTATAGCATTCGAACTAGGAAGGTTGCACTTTACAGTAATGTGCTTTGTGCTTCTCTGCAGCCTCCAGGGTGCTTGACAGCATCACCAGGTAGAGAAAGCAGATTGGCTTCCAGTCAGGAGTCATGCTCCCTGGAGCCCCAAGCTGAGGTGCCTCGATGCAGCTCCCCTCTGCCTGGCACACCTCCCTCTTAGTGGCTCTGGGTTCAGAATTTTCACAGAGATATGAGCTGATTCTTGCTGCATCTGGGCTAGCAGTTCTTGGTCGATGAAAAGGCATTCGTGTGTTGGAGGCTGAGGACTCTACTTCTATGTGTCTTCATGGGGTATACGACACATTGATGGCCTGTGCCACATCAGGGTCATTGATATGACCCTGTTACATCTGGTGTGGCTTTGTAACTAAAATAATCAGTGCAGGTGTACCTCATTTTATTGCCTTTGCTTTATTGCACTTTGCAGACATTCCATTTTTTTACAAGACCCTCCACCAACAAAAAGCTTATGAGTCGCTGAAAGCTCAGATGATGGTTAGCATTTCTTAGCAATAAAATACCTTTAAATTAAAGTATGTACATTGTTTGCTTAGATATAATGCTATTGCACACTTAATAGACTACATTATAGTGTAAACATAACTTTTATGCGCACTGGGAAACCAAAAATTTGTGTGACTCACTTTATTGCGATATTTGCTTTATTGCAGTGACCTGGAACCAAACTCACAATATCTCCAAGGTATGTCTACACTGGAGAAATAATGTGAGGGTTTTATTGTTCTGAATAAACAATGAGAGGAATTCAAATCCCAATGAGTAATAATAAGTGTAAGTTCATAGCCTAGATCTGTGGTCTTCCCTTGAGTCAGGATGTTAACAAAATGAACTCTTGGGTGTTGCATTTCTGTACAGTGTGGTTCTGAGTCCTCTGATTCTTAAACTTCTCCCTTTAGGCTGCGTAAGGGTCCCCACTTAGACTGTATTGGAATTCCCACTACTAGAATCAGTTAACGGTGAACTGAAATAGGCTCCACCGAGTGCATATGTTACCTTGGGATTTCAGATTAGTATTAGGACAGCTCCTTGGCCCCCATTCATGCTCTGCTCCCGAGGGCACTGAGGTGGCCTGCTGTAGTTCCACACTGTACTCACCATTGCCAGGTGAAGCCCTCACGATGTTGGCTATCCACAGACTATAGTTTAAACGTTCCACCTCGTGGCCTTTGCCACATCCTGGCCTCTCTCCAGGACAGTTCTATGATAGGACACTTGAGCTGAGGCCGCCTGCTTTCCTAACCGTCCTCAGATGTTGTCCTGCCTGAGGGGTTTCCCTTCCACCTCCACCTTGTAAAGTCCCACCCCTCCCCATGGAGGAACTGGGATGCAAGGAGGAATCGCCCCATTTTCCTGCTAGACTTCTGACTAGGAGTACAGCACTCCTGCATGGGGGCGTGCAGGTTTATTAAGATGTTCTTGAAATATTATTTTTTCCTTTTGACCTTGGTTTCTGGATTGATTTATCAGTTAATAGAATTAACTCTCCAAAATCTCCAATTTTGAAGAGGGAAGAGGATAATGAATTACCTAATAGATGAAACTCATTTCATGTTTTCTGTGGCATATCCAAACCCAGAACCATTTGGAGCATTTCTCTGGGGGAAAATGAACTGAAAGTGCCAATTACAGAGTTTTCTACACTGTCCAGGACCCCTGGCCTTCCTACCATTGATCTGAAAGTTTAATCAACCGTTTGATGAATGAGCAGATTCCATGTATGGAGTCCCACAGTGTGCTGTGCCTCTCTGTCTGGGTTCTGGGTTTGCTGTGATGAATGGCCAGCTGTGAATGGGTGATGCTGCCAGCTCCGCGCAGACGTGTGAGTGAGGAGCTGCTTCGTCCTCCTCAGTCTGGGCTAGTTTGTTTATGCTCTGGTTTCAGTTTTGTCTTATAAGTACTAGATGTTGGTGTCTACCTAAGAAAGTCACCAATGAATAAGAAAAGAGATTCTTTTGGAAAGGAATATCCAGGGCCTGGGTGAAACAAGCAAATTAGATTCTTAGAGCCAAGAAATGTTAATATTGAGGTTTATATTGGAGTAAATTTTGCCTTGGAAATATTTTCTTTTCCTTTCAAATGCTTAAAACATTTTGGTTTTTAACGTACTTATAGCCAACCTGTTTTGTTTTTTTTTTTTAAGATTAATATTTAAAAGAACAGTTTATTTTTTTCCACTTGGTCATTGTTGACTATTAGGTAGTTGGCTGGTTTGGCTTTTCTTTTGAAGCCAAAACTGGAGTTTTAATTAGCTTAATTTGAACCAGGCTAGATTTTCTGAGCCTACGACTGTCCCCATGTTTGAGGAATGCACTTTGCAGTTTACGAAGCAACCGCTACACAGAGTTGGGAAATCTTTCCTCCTCCTTTCCAGAATCCACTCCATGGTGGTTGTAAGTATGTTATGGGTGAGGGCAGGGCCGTGGTGCACATTAGATTCCACAGTGCAGTCTTCCCCAGTCTACAGCAGCGCTGCCTGAACGCAGAGGACGTGGGCAGCACCTTTATGTCTCTGCTCTCCATGGGGGACCAGCCCAATTCCAGGATGCCCGTCCAGGCTTGGGCTCAGCAGCCATGGGGACGTCCACGCACTGAAACGGCTCCTTACAGGGACAGTTTATTCAGAGAGTGGACATGGGTTTGTGGCAGGAACAGTTCTTAACTTTTAACATATTTGCACCATTGCTCTTTCCCCCTTAGTAGGACTCTGAATTTAGATTTGCTGCAATATTTAGAGAAATCTTCTAGCTCCTGATCTAGTTTTGATTCATCTTTCTGGAGGCATTGGAGGAGACTGGAAGTTGGCATTGGGGTCAGGAGCCGTTAACATTTTCAGCCGTGACCAAGAGACCAGGTGAATGATGTATATCCCTGCTCGTGCCACTTTGAAAAGCACAAAACCCTTTATAATTAAAGCAAAATTTTATACTAAACTTGGGTCCTAAAGATTATATTTTAACAAAAAAAAAACTTATTCTTTTTGATCCATGGGTTACTGTCAGGCCTAATTCCAGTGGTTCAGCCAGTGGTGTGTTGGTAAGTGCTCAACAGCCAGCTCTGGGTTGGGGGCTGATTTGTAGCCAGTTTCCATGATGTAAATATTCCCACGGGGCTGATTTCTAGCCAATAATGTCACTGCAGGTAGAGTTGGGAAGACATGTGGACAGTCAGCTCACAAGCCCTGATGCAGCCCTGGGACGAGCCCTCAGTGTTTCAGAGGTGCAGTCTGCCCATTCTGGAGCATTTATCTGCGCCCGTTGGAAGCTCAGGTTCCATAGAAATGGGTCTGTCTGTTGAACGTCAGTTGAAGGGTGGGTGATGTCAGAGGTCCCTGTTACACGCTGACTTGGGTGATTTTCACGGCTGAGTTCACGTGGTCAAGTTTGGTTTGGGGTTGTTTTGCAACCTGCCATAGTCTGTTACCAGGGCTCAGAGCTTGTGAGAGATTTCTGCTGAATTAACACCTGTCATGGCTCTTTTGTAACATGGAACTAGCATTAAATAATAATAGTGTGTTTGCATTGGATTTTATACTTTTCTGAGTGTTTTTCACATATGTTATCTTGTTAGATTTCCACAGCATCCTGAGTGACTGTTTTCTCCCTGAGGTATTTTTGTTCTTATTTAGCAGATGGCAAACATGGTCTCATAGTTGTTAAATGTGGGTGAAGCAGGGGCAGAATCTGATCTAGAACCACAGCTGACCCAGGGGTCTTCCCACTCTTTGTCCAATTGAACTCACCGTTTGCTTCTAAGCCCCATGGCATCAGTGTGTCTCGCCATTATGTGCCTTTGAAATGTATTTTTCTGGCTTCACTACTGAGATCCAGGGTAACAGTTATTTTCCTTTTGTGAACTCTTTATGATGCTGGCAAAAGGGAGGAAATGGTCATATATTGGTTAGATGGGTGTTGAAGTGAGAATAATTGCATTCCATGGAACCTCCAGAGGAACTGTGGCTGGGCCCGAGAGCATTTGCTGAATAAGCTGGTTGTCTTTTGTGACTGGGTGTCCTCTTTTTGCCTGAGAATGAATTTCAGTGATAGAATGAATCGGGAGTCTCACACACGCAAACCCTGGAGAGATGCTATGGCCAGGGTGCCCATCAATCTGGGGAGGTTCTTGGTTGCTTGTATATTCAGAAATAAGAGAAAACAATTTATATAGAATCCCCACCTTTTATTCATTTGGCTTGAAATCAGTTTTGTTAATGGGGTTTTAAACTTGTCTCGGAACTGGAAGAAATCCAGAGACTGGAAACTGGATAGTGCTGCATTGAGGGTGAGACCCTGGAAAATGAGACTACCAGCAGATCTTGTGGGCTTTATCGATAGGAGGGAGGGGGAGGAGAGAGAGGTCGGTTCTGCAGAGACTTTCCTCATCTCCGAAGAAAAGATCCACCTTTCCATGTGGACATTTGGTGTTATCTTTCAAAGAGGGAGAAGAGCATTCCTTAGCTTCCTGCTGTGAGGTTTGACAGGAGGACACTTTACTTTCCCGTTCTTTCCTTCATTTTTGGAAAGAAAACCCCTCAGATCTTTGTTTAAAATAAAATGGATCTTCTGAAAGTGCTTGGAGAGAAAGGAGGAGGGAAACACAGTGGTTTGAAGGGCTCTCAGGTGTTAGCGGCTTGTCTGAACAGGCCTCCAGCCTCCCCAGACCTCCTGCTCCCTGAAGCAGGTTGCTTGGGCCGTCATTGAGCAGTCTGGTTTGCAGAAGTCAGGTCAGCTCACGGTAAAGTGTCCAGTCTTGTGAGTAGTATAACATGGTGAAGAGATTGGAAATAGCGCAAGATTAATGGATGCATTCAAATAGCGATTAAACAAGGCTGTGGTTCAGACGCGAATTGGTCTTATCAAGAATGATGAGGGGACCCGGCCCCGTGGCCAAGTGGTTAAGTTTACGCGCTCCGCTTCGGCGGCCTGGGGTTTTGCTGGTTCAGATCCTGGGCGCGGACATGGCACCGCTTGTCAGACCGTGCTGAGGCAGTGTCCTACATAGCACAACCAGAGGCACTTAGAACTAGAATATACAACTGTATACTGGGAGGCTTTGGGAGAATCAAAAAAAAGAAGATTGGCAACACTTGTTAGCTCAGGTGCCAATCTTTTTTAAAAAAAATTCTATAAAATAAAATTAAAAAACTGCTTTCTTTAAAAAAAAAATAAAAGAGTGATGATGACCAGGGTTTTTAAGTCCTTTGGAGTCCATTCCAGCAGACACAAATGAGAGTGGGAGAGGGTGACGGTCTGGTCACTGTGCAGGTCCTAAAGCTCCTCCCTATAGTGGTGCCGCATCTTCAAGATGACCCTGGTTGCCCCAGAGGTGGAGGGGGCTCACCTGGGGACAGAGCAGGCCCTCTTCCCACCCCCGTGCCTTCAATGCTCACCTACCAAGATGCATTCCCACCCATTCCTTAAATTCTAGGTGATGTATAAAAATTTACTGAGATATGCACTCAAGCTTCTGTATTTATTTCACTCTTTTTACATTATTTCCAACGTGGGGATGTATATTGAGCTTGTTCTCCACCTTGGAAAATGGCATTGTCCTTCACCTCGGCTCTCTCTTGCCCTCATCTCCCACTGCACACGTTTGTTCCTTTGTTGCCGAGTACTATCCCTTCCATGAATGGCCATGTTTGGGTTGTTCCCAGTGTTTGGCTGTTGTAAGGAAGGCAGCTATGAAACCCTGTGTGGGCCTTTTGGGGGGCCCTTCTGAAGGAGAGTGTGGGGCTCGTCTCAGGACACTCACCTGGGAAGTTCCCTTGAGTCGGGTTACTTGAGATTCTCGAAGATGCATGTAAGAAATAAAAAGCAGATGATCCCATAAGCTGCTAGGAAAACACATAGCTGATCCTATTGGTCAGTCTTAGTTCTTCAGCAAAATGGAATAAATTTTATATTGTCTAAATAAAACACTATAACCATGTCTGACTATAATACAAATGGAATTCTTCCACTTTTACTTGATTATTTTTTAACATTTCAGACCCTGTTGTGATGTTGGTAGGAAAAATATCCCCATTCCTATGTTTTCCTTTGGCTAGGTTTTCTCACTCACGTGCTGAGTAGCATGAACAAACGCTATTTGGCAATTCTGATGACCTGGATAGGATTTTGTTTGTTTCAGGAAACAAAAATGCACTCAAGCATTAACAAAACTACTGTGAGTGGTGGGGAGGGGTGAGGGCCGGTTGTCAGTCTCACATAGCCTGTGCCTGAGTCATCAACTCCATCTATTAATCTAATTGGCTCAGGCCAGTCTATGGACTTAAACCACTGAGTCATGTGTCTATATGCCCACTGTTTCACCAGGGCTGGAAGGCTCCTCCCTGTCACAAATGAAGGTGTATCAACAATTTGTATTTTATATCTTCACTCTTTAAAAGGAAACACAAACAAAACAACTAGACTCAAACTTTACACATTTTTGTGTCTGCTCATTGTGAATTGATATTTTCCTTTTCTTAATCTGAAAGCCTGATGCCATTGATTCATCTGCTACGTGTGTCTGTGTGTGTGTGTGCACGTGTACATTTGTACACACAATGTGGTCAAACATATTGGACTGGAAGTCAGGAGACTTGGACTAGTCTGGGCCCTGCCAGCAATTGTTTTCTTAGCCTTCTATTCAAGTCGCTTCTCCATTGGATGTGCCAGATTTCTCACCTGTAAAATTAGGTGTTTGGCTACACCTGTGGTTACCAACCTTGGCTACTCATTAGAAACACCTGGAAGCCTTTAAACAATATTGATTCCCAGGCCTCTCCTGGCGTAGTTGAATCAGAATCTCTGGGCTGGGGGAGGGGTCCAGGCATCAGCTATCTTTCTCTTTCTTCCTTTCTTCTTTTTTTTTTTTTTTTTTTTAAAGATTTTATTTTTTTCCTTTTTCTCCCCAAAGCCCCCCGGTACATGGTTGTATATTCTTCGTTGTGGGTCCTTCTAGTTGTGGCATGTGGGACGCTGCCTCAGTGTGGTTTGATGAGCAGTGCCATGTCCGCGCCCAGGATTCGAACCAACGAAACACTGGGCCGCCTGCAGCGGAGCGCGTGAACTTAACCACTCGGCCACGGGGCCAGCCCCCCTTTCTTCTTTTTTTAAGCTCCCTGAAGTGACTGATGTGCAGTCAGAGTTGAGAACCACTCGGCCAGATGATTTCTAAGAAAGCTTCTTGCCCTAAAAGTTCAATGATATGCACTAAACTGCCAACTGTGCTTTGTGCAACAGAGCCAAAGTTATGGAGGGGGAATTCAGTCTCCTCATTATTACTTCTATGGTTTGTTAGCAAGAACATCATTACCATAAAAGATATTTCTCTGTGGACATGCAAATCAATGCAAATGACTAATTTGCCATTTAAGAAATTGTGGATTGCAATGCAAACTGTTTTAGGTAAATAACCCTTGTCTAATTGAGTGACAGTATTCTGTACTTCGGTATTAAGGATATCAGCCCAAGAGGCAGGAAGACTGTAAAAATGCTACAGATTATTACTAATACCTGCACAATGTTTTACCATTTATGGAAGATTTCATGTGCGCCATTTCACTTGAGCCACAAAATTCCAGTTCTGTTCTAGACTGCCTACAGTAAAGCTGTTATTTTGTCAGGTAGAAATAGGATAGGGTGTCAGGGAATGCAGGAATGTGAACAGTTAGCCACAATACAACGCAGGAACAGGGTCAGCTCTGGGGGCTACTAGGTCTTTGGCAGTAGAATTACCTGAGTTCTGGAGGCCAATGACTTTAACATATGCCATATAAAGTGAGGAGGTAAATTCTGTGTTTACTTTATGGATGTCTTTTATATCATTGCACAGATGGATCATACAACAGGAAGACCGCTGGGTGAG